GGGGGGGGGGGGACACACGACGCCCGGCGGAAAGACCGCGGACAATGCCGCGGGCATAGCCGCACAGGCCACACCCACGCGCGGGGGTCCACACCTGACTACAGGACGGGGTCCCGGCCGGGGGTTCAAGACATCAACCAAGACTGGCAATGGAGCCATTTGGCAATGGCGCGCCCGGGTGGGCCCGGGCGGCTGGCGCGTCTTCCCCGGTGTCGTTCGCTCCGCGCCTCCCGACCTTCGGGGTAAGACGGCCCCATCTGCGCGCGAGTTTTCGCACACGTACACACCCAAGATGCCCGGGCGCCGAGGGCAGGCGGCACGGGCGCGCCCAGGACACGACCGACGAAAAGCCCAAGAACTCCACGGCCAGGCCAATAGCCCGGCGGGGGGGGGGGGTGCAAGCCGCGGAGCAGGGCGACCCGGAAATGGACGACCCAGGAAGCCTCGCGAAAAGTGGCACACCACACACCGAGCTCAGAGGCCCGAGGCCCCCCTGCAGGGCCGATGCGCGGAGGGCTTGGCTCACGCCACAAGCTGGCGCGCGCGCGCACGCACGCACGAGCGAGACGCAGAGTCGGAGCAAGAGACGCGAAGGGAACAGGGCGTGAGGGGGAATAAGACACATGCCCCCCCGCCCCCCCTCCGGGGAGGCGCCCTGCCGACCGGGGGGGGGGAGGCGTGAACAAAAGAAGACCACCGAGGGAAGGCTGGCCGGTCAAAGCCCGCCCAGTGTCAGTCCGTGGCACAGGCGACCCCCCCCCCCCGAGGAGAGCACTCATCCCTGGCACCGCGAGCATCGGCCGGCCGGTACCCGAGAACGGGGGCCCTTCGTGCCCCCCCCCTCCCCGCCCCTCTCTGGACGCGGCGGCGCTTGGTGCGGGCCCCGGCCCGGCCGCCAGCGCGCTTGCCCTTCAGCCAGCTGGGGCCTTCGCCCGGGGCAAAGCGCCGCCGGTGGTGTGCAGGAGCGATGGCGCGCGATAATCCCCGAAATCGGCCCCGCCGGCGAGCGGCTTACATGAGTCAAAAAATGACACACCCCCGCCAGCCGGCGACACTCGACTCCGAGCGGGGACGGCCCACGCACCAGGGCGGCTCACCTGCATCATGAGGGGCCGCCTGCGAATGCACCCAGGTGCGTGGCGGCCAGCGCCCACAAGACCCGGGGCCCTCCTCCGGCCGGGCCGCAAGATGGCCTGATGAGTCTGGGCCAGGTCGGCAGGCCCGAACGAGGACGCGCGAGCAGGCCCGGGGAAGCCCCGAGTCTCGCCCTTCCCCTTCCCCCCCTTGCCCCCGGCCCGCCCCCCTGGGAACGGCCAATCACTCCTCCAGCCGGGGGGAGGGGCCGGGGCGGAGCGGGGGGGGGGGGGGGGTTAGCCCGCATTCCTCCCCCCGGCCGGGTGCAGGGACACACCGAAAGCTACCACCAACCTCCGACCATTGGCCACCCCGGCCCCCGGCGGAGCGCCAGCCGCGGGGAGGGCGGGGGGGGGGGGCGGATGGCAGCAAGCTCTAATGAAAAGGGCCAG